CGTACAAGCAGACAGAAGGCGTCTATTCCAAGAATATCCCCGCACATGCACCTTAACTTGTATGCACATAGGTACACTAAAAGGGGTAAATGTAATCAAATACCCGTATGGGCCCCGACGAGCATGTTATTGGTGCACACGTGACGTCTAGGGATGCTGCGCGGGTTGACAAGTGAATTCAGGTTCGAAACCGATCCTTCTATATGGGTCAATAGAAGTCGACAGGGTTCGAACCATTAAGCAAATATAAAGTCGTGGCGACCGGTATATTTGCTTTAAAACATTCATATTAGGCCTTCAAGGCCTACAACAATGAGAATTCACTATCAAATGCATGAAGCCTACCAAAACCCGATCCTCTGTCGACAGCCCGATAGAGTTGACAAGATGCAATCCATAAAGAGAAATGACCCACAACACCCCGATGATGGCCGTGTTGAATGCAGATCTCAACCGGAGGGGTTCCCAAATACTTTCAATTATCTCCCAAAAGTTCATTTCAAATACTCCAAGGCTCCACCAAAATACCCATAAAAATCCAAAGCTCCACCCAAAATATCCACAAAAGTCCAAATCCAAAATTCCACAAAAATCCCAAAATCTAAAAAATATTTAAATTTGAAATTCAACCCATTAACCACTTAAAGCAAAATCCGTCCACCCTCCGCAACAGTTTATCGTAGTCAGATTAACCCAATTTAGTTCAGAAACTATCCCTCATTTTTAAAGAAAAAGAATTTACAAAAGGGAGACAAGATCCAACAGAAGTAATAAAGCAGGCTAGTTTTTAGTGTAAGTATCATCAGATTAACCATAAGAACAATCCTGCAAATGGTATAATTTCAATCAGTGAAAATCCGCTTTGAAGAAACAACGAGGCAGTTATTTAGTTATAAGGCTGTTCAACTGGTCAAATCAACTAATGTTTCTATTATCTGTATCAATCATTTTATGAGGTGAACTAGCGATTTGTCTTGGATAAATGACTTATTAACAGATATCCATGCAATACATCGGACCCACTTCTTTCTATGTCAATCATATGCTTCTGATTACCGTACAGTGCAGATTTCACTTGCTCGTTTAGAGTAAAATGCACATGAAAGCCTTCTCAAAAGTATCAAAAGCACCTAAACTCAATTAGCTCTGACCCACTTGATCTAACGTAACATTTTTACAGTTCTAAAGGTTCAAACAACTTATCATCTTAAGCAAAGGGATGAATGAAACCATAAACTAACCCGAGGAAGATCTTGCTCCCCAATTTGCATCCAAATACTTTAGAATTTCAAAAGAAGCATCTTCTACTGTCATCATTCCTGGTGAACATGGCCAACGAGAAAGTGTGTCCTCTCCATTGTTTCTTCCAACAACCTGGTTTATTTACTAGAACAGTAAGTGAAGGTACAATTAGCAAACCTTCCCAATGTATTTATAGTACTCACCAGCAAATGCTTTAAAACAGTAGAAAAGGGTGGGGGGCTCCTAAGATGAAATGCTCCCCAAGAAAATTCAGGAGGAATCACATTCAATTTGACAAGGATTGGAGCAGTACTCCAGGCCAAAGGCCAGTCCTTGGAAAAAATTGCTTCCCTATATGTGCAAAGGACCCTATTCCCACCTTTCTTACCACCAATCATGGGAAGACCTTTTTCAGCAGGAACAAAAGCAATATTACTGATCGTGTCACAGAAATCATTGTTAAAAAGTGTTGAAAGGTTTGCAATTATTGCAACTACGACAGATTCAGCTAATGAACATATCTCCAAAGGAACTTCTTTTTTCCTAAAGGATGACTCAGTCTCAAAACTTTCAAGATCCCCTGCATGTGCAAGGGCTTCACGTCCAAGTGACTCGATCTTTCTTGCACACTCTGTTATCATATCACCTTGTGAGGATGTGCGAAGACCTGTTTTCCTTAAAATGTGGAGCCATCCATCTGTAGTAAACCTCTCACCGGGGAATTTACTTCTCTCCCCACTGAATACTGATGACAACAATGAATCATGAGGATCCAACAAATCCCTTGGTTTAAATAGATTAGTACTAACTTCATTGGCAGTACGCACGAAATTTGTCTCTTTCAAACAATTCACTATTGTGGTATCTAATTGCAGATCTTTCCAATTTAAATATAAATAAAATAAAATATCTTCCTTTTCCGCTGATGTCTTCACTTCAAAATCAGGCAAAGCAAATCTTAGAAATACTTCTTGATCAGTCAACTCATCAACCCCTAAAGCATGAAGAAATTGATTTGCATCTGCTGAATGAGAAAGACACCGTTCATCTTTAGGATGAAAGAAAGCTGTTGGAGAAATTGTGCACTGATTTCTGTCAACTATCATGGTGTAGGAACCTGTTACTGTTTTGTATATAGGAAGTTCTTTCAATAAGTCTAGCTCTTCTCTTTTGTACAAACAGCAAGTCGGTGATTGGTGATCCAAAGCAAACAAGGTGAACAATCTGTCACGATTTTCATCAGATAAATGAAGTGGAACAGAAAATCTACCAGCATATTTTGCAGCAAGTAGCTTGGAGGCAATAACATGCCCCAGTGATTGACTAAGTGTAGGGAAAAAATAACACAATGCAGCAGAGTCCAGAAATGACATATCATAAAGTGGTATGCTCAACTGATATAGCAAAGATATTAGCCATGGATATCTAGAAGATATCATTTCAAATGCAGTGCTATATATCTTTTTTAATTCAACAATACTTTCTGATGAATTTATCATGCCAGTCCCATCAAATGTGACAGTAGATTGCTCCAGCATGGGTGGAATAAATATCAGTTTGATCTCTTTTACACGACATAAGATTGGTCTATTCAGAACTGCGGGAATTAATGGCCAATCAGAAATAAGTGAAAGATCACCTTTAATGTCTCTAAAGATTTTCCAGAAGAGTCTTATCCACTCAGGACGTGGCCCATCGAACACAGAGCCTGCAGTGTTATCCCATGATACCCAAGGAGCTTGATTAACAGATAATACGTGAATCACCCAAGATTCAGTAAGCAGCAGCCTCAAATGCTCTGCTACCAACTGAGGGGTGAAGCTCTTTAATTTTAAAACTCCGTGAATGTTTTGGGTAAAAAGAATCTTAGACAAGAAAGATTTCTCTAAGCAAAGAGTATGGATAAATTTATCTGCCAGTGGATACATAAATAGCTGCTGCTCCTTGCTCCCAATCAATATCTCTGCAATGCCCAGTCTCAATAGACACTTTGTTGAAGTTGGAAATGGCAACCCTTTTAGCTCTGCAAGAATAGATGCTAATGATCCATCACTATAAATAGACATGCCAGAAGCAGTAGCAACATTGGGTAGAGGATCCGCTGCTTTGCCTATATCCTCAACAACTCCACGGCCAAAGTCATATAAGGCCTTGCCAAAGTACGTTACAATTTCAAGGGCATCACCTGCAGAACTACTTGAACTCTGAAAAGCATCTCTATGAATTCTCTGTGATTTCATTGAGGATAAAAATGGTGCAGTTGTAGACAAATCATCACTTACCGCATGCAAAGCACCCACAGAATCCAATCTATTGTTGAAACCTGATAGTTCACTTGCTGACAAATCTGGCATCTGAATATCTGACAAACAGTAATCAAGCACATCTATATACATTTCAACAGATTCAGGTAAAACTGAAACTGAAGATTTAAGTAGACCACGAATCATCTTAGGCGTGATCTCCCTCACCTTAACTCCTAACGCCTGAATTTCCTTCACTAATTCAGATGGCATAGAAAAAACAGGGTAACGCTCTTTGAGGAAGCTACAAACCCTAGCGGGTGGAAGGTTATCACCATTTTCACCAGAAAATTGAGACAGGAACATACCTTCATCAGCTTTCACAACATTGCCACAGTATAATTGCCAAACTGGCATATCAACAAGGCGGTAATAGAAAGGCCTAATCACTTGTTCAACTAGTGACACCCAATCTGCCTCACTAGCTTTACTAGTAACTGTTTCCTCGCCGGCACTATCAACATCACCATATGATTTTGAATTCTTTTTAGATCTAGGCCAGAAAGAGTAAATTCTATCACCATATGCCTGTAGAATATAACTTAAAGCACGTGCAGAGTTTGACTCAAAACATGAAGTGTGGTAGTCCTTCCTGATCTTTTGAAACTCCAACACCAATTGAACATAAGAATCTCGAATACATAGTAGCAATTCTTTGTTCCAAGCTTCAGCCAAAAGACCTTTAGCATTAGCTTGCTCCGTTAAAACATGTCCATCTGAATGGCTGAAAAGATACCGCCCACCAATGTGAGATATGAGGAAGCATCCAATAACAGTTACTGGCATGCTTAATACCCCCGACAGGGGCAAGGGAGACAATATGCAACTGGATGCTGGTGGGCTTATAGGTTGTCCATTTTGAGATATATGAGCTGCTACTCCGGCAAATGGAGTCAAGTTGTGAGTAAGATAGCGCCTGAAATGGAGGCATGGAAATATTAAAAAAGTAAGAAGCATCAAGAAAACTGCCATCAGAAAAGTTCTAGTGACAACGAATCATTAAAACTAAATAGCAATGACTAGTTTCCTGCAATACCATCGAAGAAAATAACTCATAGCTTGCAATACCTTGCATAAGATAATTCTTAAAGGGCAATTCAATTTGATTGCAAATATTTTAAATATATGTGTACATTATATGCAGTGGAAAGTTAATATAATATATTTGAGATACTCAAGTTGTTTTGCTGATTGCAAAATAAATTAAAAAAATCACATTTTTGATTGGTTCGAAAACAAATAAATCTTAAATTTTTGTATTAATATATTCTTTTGATATTTTAAACTTTTTTTTACAAAAAATTGATCTAGGGCACAATGAGATTGATGGTTTTGGTTAGGTGTGATGATGTTGGCATAGCTGGCGGCGGCACGGGGAGGTCGTTCTCGTGAATTGGGAGCTGAAGTGCTTGGATGTCAAACAATGCGAGCAAGGGACAAGCTCAAAGCCATGAGATTTATTTTAAACTCAATCAAACACCCGAAAATTTTAAAACCCGTTAGTACTTTTGACCAATTGGTATGATGCACCTTTGATATCTAGTTAGTCATGGAAGAATGAGTCTTCAATGTCCACATATTGCCTTAGCCATTGATTGAAGCTAACTTCATATTTTTCTTTAATTAGTTCTGATTCTTAAAATACAAACATCAGCATTTCCTTGATAGTTCATAAATTTTTAAGAAGACAAATGATGCAAGATAATGCTTGAATGTCTTCATGTTATATGAATTATCCTTTTTTTTTGGAATGTTGAGATATTGAATGAGAAATATTGTGATGAATATATGTATTAATGAAATGTGCGAAGGAATTTCAATATTTTAAATGCCGTGTATGCTAGACTTTTAGTCTACATATCAAATTCAAGTCCATTTACACCTCACCATGCCACCTCATCTAAAGTTTAACTTGAAAGCTAGTCAATATATTAAGTAATTTATGTTAAGAACCTTGTCATGGTCAAATTTATTATATAATTTAACATGGAATCAATGTAAGAATGGTGAGTCATGTTGGCATATGAAAAGTCATTTTAGATTATTGAAGGATCATATCAATACCTGCTTGCCACCTCATAATATAGCGATAGACATTGTGACCTTCTCCCTACAGTGAGCGTGGAGGCCTAACAAATAAAATCATTATTGGAACCCCTTTTCCATCCTCAATCTTTTGGTATCCTAGCCTCAGGAGGATCCACATGCAAGCATCTGATAATGAGTATGGTGACTCATTTTCTTGTTGGAGAACTTCGGTCAGCTTTCAAACGTGCATATTGTGTGTTTTACTTGTTTTTCAAAATGCCCATCTCATGGCTTCTACTTTATCAAATAAATAAATAAAACTTTTTCCAATCCCCTACTCGCTTGTGTTGATCCTTAGTTTGATGACCATAGTTACCCTTTGAATGGTTCAATATATTATAATTTTTTTCTTTCCATTGGTAAGAAAGAAGTGTGATGCGGACATCGGCACGAAGATTTGGCGCATCTATCACAGGAGGCGTCGTAAATCGATGGCTCTAGTTTAAATTTCCATTTATGAGTTATTTTATGAATTTTAGCTCTTATTTTATGTTATTTCCTGTTTTACCCCTAGGTTAGTTTATTTGAGTGTTGTGGCCCAAAGGGCAATTTTGTAATTTTTGATTTTTCACATGTTGTGGCCTATATATAGGGCCTTAAGCTATTGTAAAAGGAATGAAGAATTGATATTAAAAAAATTGTGTTCCACACTTGTGTTCTTGTGAAGAGGACGATAGTGAGATTTCTATGAGAAGGAATTTGAGCTTTCACCAGCCGCAGGATGGGTCCGGGCTCGTGATTTGAAGTCCCTTGGAGAAGGGCAACTATCACCCGTCAGTCTTCGGAAGAGTCCAAGGCTCGCGGTTTTTATTTTCTCTCTTTCGTTTTTATCTTTTCTTTATTTGTTTTTGTTCCTTCGTTCTTCCTCCTCGCCATCTTCGTTTGGCCGCCGGATTCTAACCTCACTCGAAACCCCACTTTTCTCCCCCGTCCAACACCCACGGCCAAACCCATGCCTGACCCCATGCCGCCGGCTTCCACCTCATTAGCCACCGGCCGAACTCCTCCTCCCACCCTCTTTGGGCTTTCCAAATTTGGTTGGGATAATTTAGGGAATGATTTGAATTTGAAATTATTCAAATTCAAATTTCAAATTCTTTCCTAAATTAGTGATTCTATATTAGGAGAGTTCTTAATTTACATCCATTTGAATTTAAAATTTAAATTGGAGTAAATTACTCTTTCCTAATCTTTTTTAAACCAAATTAAGAAGTCTTAATTAGCCTCATTAAATCCTATTTCAAATTATTTCCTAAAGCAAGTCTAGATTTAGGAAATAATTCAAAATTCCCTTCATAACCGAAATTTCCCTTGCCTTGCTCTACTAATTGACTCCCTAATCTAAGGAGTTTAATAACAGGAATTAAATCCCTACCCATTAATTCCTCTCTAGCCTATGCCTGCCACCGGCCCCAGTAAATACTTCCTACAGGATTTGTTTCCTAAACCACTTCCCCACCCGTTGGAAACAAATTTGAAGCCACACCTCTCTTGGCCGAATTCCTCTTGACTTTAATCCTTAATTTACTCCCTAATCCTATGGGAAGGAATTAGGAATTAATTAACCTCCACCTCAGCCCCTCAATCCCGTCACCTCCTCTCCCTGTTAATTCCTCCCAGCTTACCGCCTCCCCATATTTGATTTCCTCAAAAATCTGTCCGCGGGACTCAAACCAAATATTAAATCCTTTCCTAAAGCCTGACTTGAAAAAAAAAGGAAACAATCCCACCTCCAATTCCATTACAGCCGGCCCCTCCATATTAAATGGTTTTTGAAATCTCTCCATAAGTGCAGTTTACTCCTTTGGAAGATTTCCAAAAGCTGATTTCTGCTGGCGGAAATCTCTCTGGCTCCTTCCTTGGGATTCTCACCAAACTCCTCTAGTCCACCGAAACCTGAAAACTCTTCTCAGATTTTTGTTGGGAATCTGAAACTGTTTTCAGATTCTACAAGAGAAGTAGTTGGGGCTTGTTCTCCCTCTTCTTTCAAGAAAGAAATCTGAATTCTCTCAGGTTTTAGGGAAAAAGCTGAAAGTGTTCTCAGATTTTGGAGAAGAAATCCTCTCGTTAGCAAAGCCTCCTACCCATTCTACATCAAAGTGTTTCCCTAAAATGATGGAGGATAGAAAAAGGTTCCAGTAATGATTTTAATGGTTGTGCCACCAATCCCACTATAACGAGAAGACCACTAAATTCTACCATTATGTTCCTAACAAGCAAAAATTTCCAAATATCATTATCATTTTCCCCCCATCATTTTAAAGGATTAATAAGAATTACAAGCAATGTAAAATTAAGGGAATAAAGTAGAATGGATAACCACAAAATCATGAACCATGGATAAAATTCTTGATTTGTCTTTTCATCTTGATCACTTTTATTCCATGTTCATGCATGCTCCATTTTCCAAGGCCATTGTTGGGAGAGAGTTCAAGTAGAAGAGAAGGGGTTGACAGGAGAGAAATAGACAAGATTTAGAGAGATGGGTTGCAAAAAAGAGCGCATGTAAATACCCTTTTTTTAATAATAATAATAAGAAGAAGAAGAAGATAAATTGGCGCTTAGTCAATTCTAGAAAATATGCCCTTCATTAGTTTTGTGATTAGATAAAAGGAAAGGAGAAAGGAGCAAGCTACACAAAAGGAAGAAAGAAACAAAGAAAGATCCTGGATAGGAAGATCGAGGGACAGAGAACGGTCAGGTAATCGAACAAAAAAGAGAGGGGATATTAGGCACCAATCAAGCAAAGCCTGAAAGAAAAAAAGAAAGATATGGAGAGTAAGAAAGAGGAGAAAGTAAGATGATCGAGAAGAAGATCGTGAGCGAGCAAGAAACGATGAGAAGGAGACCAAGTAGAGTAGGAACTATCAAGAAGTGCTTGCATATGCTTGTTGACTAATGGAGTTCACCCTCTTGTTGTATAAGATGGAGATGCTAAGATTCACACATAAAATGGAAACTATTTAGACAACAAAATGGAAACGAAAGTACCTTAAATGGTATAGTATAGATGGTGCTCCTATGACAGTTGTATCATATAAAAATTAGAAAATATAATATGATTATATGCAAATGAATGCTTTAAAACTCTTTCATTGACATATTTGAATAGATGAACTATCAGATAATTTATGATGATTTATTTATTATGAGAAGCATATATATTAATTTTTTAATTCCATTATTACTGCAATTTAGAAATATGATGAATCCACTGGGTGGTTATGATAACTCATTATTGTTCTAATTGTTATTTTCAGAATAAAATAAAATAGTAGGAACTAAATGAGTGAAAGAAGAGAATCAATTTATCGTATGTGGAATTATCAGTGAAATGTATTTATAATAGAATTGCTATTGTTTTGGTTTAGAATGAATATTTGAGATTTAGTGTATGTTTTGATATATTATATATTATTAATAAGAAAAAATGTAGGAACAATTGTAATAAGAATTTAAAAATACCGTTGGTCTTTTCACCTCACTACTCTGCACTTTTGGGCTAGATCACGACAAAAGTAGGCTAGTAAGAGATGAGGGGGTCGATGAGAGAAAGGTGAAGTGAGCAGGGAAGACTCATAGAAGAAAGATACATATGCTAGGGGAAACAGGAGAGCGTTCAATGCATGCGCTTGTAGGAGATGGAAAATAAGAGATGGGATCGCACAGATGCTAAATTGCTTTCGATGAAAGAATAGAGCACAAGATGGAGGGGGAGAGAGAGAGACGATGTGGAGGCATGTGATTGTAGAAGAGAAGTGCTTGGGTGCATGACGGTGTTGTTGCTTGCATGGATCCCCAGCATACTTTTTCTTCTTATTTTTTGTAGCAAATAATTGAAATACTTGATATTATGCAATTAAACAAACTGTAGGTATCTATCCTAGATATAGAATTTCAATGCCACCTTAAAATTATTCATGAGTCAACTAGGCATCATTAAAAAAAAAAAATCATACTGCAACTCTAGAGCATACCTATCAAGTGCCATGTTTCGTGTTTTTCCAGATCCCAAGCAGAGCACAACAAGCCACTTATCCACAAAACTTCTGTCACCCTGAGTTATATGAACATCTAATACATGCATTTTAATGGCATCGGGTAACGTGCTAAATATCCTTGATAGCTGAAACTTTTTCCATCTCTTTTCAGAAAAGGGGTTCCTCATAATAGAAGCGGATGGGTCGATAGAAACCGAAAAGTCCAAGGATGGATGTAAATTCCCCTCTTCCCACGTTGATAAAGATACCTGAAATGAAAATTTGTGTTAGTTGAAAATAACAAAAATAAAAAAACCACTTTCACAATTGTCCTCTTGGTATGACAAAACAAAGAATAGAGATAGCATATGACATTTCGATAAATGGGGACAAGTTAGCACACAAAACAATCATCAAATTAAAAGGAAATAAACAGAATAGAAGAAGTTTTGTTTAATCGATGCAGAAGTAGCAAAAACATTCAAGCATCCCGGTGAACTTCCATCTTCTATTTATTCAAAAGCACAAGAAGCAGTGCATCAAGCACTAGAAATGATAATAGCTTAGACTACAGAGAATTGTAACGCTACAGAAATATGAAAATATAGCACAGATTTTTTTTTTAAATGAAAATATAGTACAGATAAAACAAGCTTTGTATGTGTACAGGGCATCCTCAAATGTAGGGTTTAGGTAGGGCTTAATGTTTGTATCTGCACCCATATTCCAAAGTCCTGGTTTCAGAGATTAGAACCATGATCTACAGCCCACATTGGAGGTGATACGTTATGCAAAAATTATCTTGATCGGGCACGAATCTCGAGGCAAAAATCAAGTTGGAAACTTCAAAAATTAAATCCGGGAGCACATGAACTCCGATTTCAGCAAACTTACAGTCAAACTGAGCGTCTCGGAAGTACGAACCCAACGACACCAAATTTGACTCAATCCGAGCCCAAATGAGTCCAAATCAAGGACCCAAAGCATTGTTGGAAGGTTCGAACCACAATTTGAGTTACCAAACGGTCTCCGATTTTGGCGAGCTTATAGTCAAATCGAACGGCTCGACGAGACGAATCCAACGAGCCTAAGATCGCCGAATTCCGACATCGCTAAGGCCTTCAAATGGCTGACGAACGGTGTATGATCAAAGGATTCAATATCAGCCGTCCATTCAACCACTCCATATTCGCCCCTGATCTCACACCTATTTACAAGCCATGCCACTCCAAAAAAACTATAAATAGAGCCCTCATTCTTCACAAGAGGAGGGAAGTGAAGAGAGAGAAGAAAAAGGGAAGAAAAAGAGAAAGGGGAAAAAGGAGAATCCTCTCCTCCTCGACCACCGCCGGAGCTCTTCCCGCTGCCTGAATATGCCGGAACTCTGCGGATATTCGGAGAGAAAAGCCAGAATTCTGCCCAACTTCCATGGGATGCGGAAATTCTTCTCAATTAAGGACAGAGTTCCCCTCCTGACGCCGAAACTCCGCCCAAGTGATGCCGGAGTTCTCCTCGTCCACCAACAGACGTCAGACTTCTACCCGACACCTGACCTTCACTCTTCGCCAAGTTTCTACCCGATGCCGGACTTCTACAAGTTATCGGACTTTCGCTGACGTATATCCGAATATGGATTTCGTTCCATTGTTGGACTTCTACCTGACGCCATCCTTCTGACCTTCATCGTCAGACACAGTCCTTCCAGCCTTCTTCGCAAGGCAACTGTCCTTCTGACCTCCGTCACCAGCCGATTACGGTCCTCCTGACTTATATGTCGCCCGCCAAATACAGTCTTTCCGACCTCCGTCGCCCGCTGACTACGGTCCTCCTGACTTACGTCGCCCGCCGACTACAGTCCTTCTGACCTCCGTCGCCAGCCGACTATGATCCTCCTGACTTACGTCGCCCACCGACTACAAGCCGTCCGACCTCCGTCACCCGCCGATTACGGTCCTCCCGACCAAACGAACATGTATATAGTGATTCTTTGTTTCAATTCATGTAATGTACTCCATAAGATGTACATCAAGCTAAGGCCTTTCCCCAAGGAAGGACCTCATTTGTAATCAACTACAATACTAGTGTATTCATTCAAACTGGGCTAGGCCCCGTGGTTTTTCCCCCTTTTACAGGGGTTTTCCACGTAAAAATCTTGGTGTCTCATAAATGCTAGACCCTCTCTCTTATCTGATTGCGTGCCAGATTTTCGTACAACGCTAAGACGATAAACTTTATATTTCTCTAATGCCGCGAATACTCCTGGACGCAACAGGAGGGAAACTAACAATCGGTTAAAACCCTCCAAGCCCTTCACCTACTATAGAAACATGTTATTTGCAATTCAATCAGTTAACTAGAAATACTTTACCAAATGCATCTATAATAGCTATTTGTATAAGGAAAACACTGCATTACCAAATATATTCACAATGAAATTGGTGTATGGTAAAATGCCCAACTAATTTTATTTTGGCAATTTTAACTCTTTTAGAATTAGACAAACGGTAATCTTTAAAGAACTATTCCAAATTATTGATCAAATCTGAGAATTCCTCAAGGATATACCTCCGCAAAAATATAGATATGTAATTTTGAGCTTCACAATAATTTCAGTGTGTTTGTTTAGAACCATGACTTACTCAATTTAATTTAAATTACTTCTTCTAGTAATTTTCTTTGTTGAACCAATTATCATGAACTAATTTCAGTTCACATGATGGAATAATCATAAGCTGTAATACCAACGTCTTGTAGTCTAGTATTTATAAATTTAAACCTAGGATGAGATGTGCAAATAAACACACAATAGGCCACAATTATTTGATCCTTGACTTTCACTACTAAAAAGGATTAGCCGCTTAAAATGCAATATTAAAAAATACATTTTATTCATTCTAAATGATAATTTAAATGCCGCTAAAAGATAAAAAAATCCAGGAAAAAATCTGATAACCAACATAACATATGTCACAATTAAGCTAGGGCTCGAGCGAAATTCAATTTAAGGTGTATGAGGTAAATTTTCTATTTTGTCTAAATTTAGAATATAATTTAAAATTATTAGAATGAGATGATTAATATTAATATATGTATATTGAAGGGAGTATTTTATTTTATTTTTGTAAAATTTATTTAAAATATCTTAATAAAGAAATTTATTTAGAAAAATAATTATAATCAAATTAAATTATAAGATTAATAGCAAATTTTAGAAAGAGCGCATGTTTGAGTATTTTGAAATGAGTAGATTAAAAACATTTTATTTTTCTTTGATAAAAATAAGATTATATTTCATTAGTTACTTAAATGAATTTATTCATTAAATATAGAAAGTTTATTTTAGAAATTAATTAAATTATGATTTTCTATATTTAAATAATAAAGTGGAGAAAACAAATTCTATTATTTAAAAATAAGAACTATTTAAATATATTTAATAACCAATTAGAGAGAGAGATAATGATTAGGTATATAAGGTATGGACCCGGAACAACTAGGAAGGACCTTAGACCTTTTGGTAGGTCAAATGAACACCATAAGCCAACAGTTGAAGGAAAACCAAGCGGATTTAGCTGAGCTTCGTAGGAACTCCACTAAGAGATTTGACACTTTGGAGCGAGCTAGAGAGAACCCGACTCCTTACACCCCATCTAGACCTCCTTCTATGTATGGGGATGAAACCTACCCAGATGAAAGGCAACATCGTACCAATCATCGAGCTCACTACCACGGATATGATCCAAGTCATGATCCAGATTTAGATGAGAGGCATCACCGTGCCAATCATCGAGTACCTTACCACGGACATGATTATGATGCACCACTTATGAAAAACATTAAAGTTGACGCTCCTACCTTTGATGGCACACTCGATCTCCATCTCTTCCTAGGCTGGATCAAAGGTATGGATAGTTTCTTTAAGTGGTATGACATCTCTGAGACTAGGAAAGTCAGCTTTGCGGATACTAAACTCACGGGTAGGGCGAGTCAGTTTTGGGCCAACTTAGAGAGTCTTAGGGAAGCTAGGAATGAGTACCCCATAGTTGATTGGTCGTCCATGAAGCGGGAACTCAAGCAGAAGTACTTACCCCAGTCGTACTTCTCCCGCGTATTGGACAGGTGGAATAGGCTGACTCAAGGCAATAAACCAGTGAAGGAGTACATTGCCAATTTCGATAACTACTTGATTCGCTGCAAAGGGGAGACCTCTAGCCCCCCTGCGCAGATCCTATCTATGTTTCGTACCGGGTTGCAAGAGGATCTTCGCAATGAGCTGTTTGCCCAGAACGTCACTACACTGGAGAATGCCTACAGCCTGGTGTTGGATTTAGAGGAGTCCCGTTCATAGCACCCGAGTCGCTCACACGATCCTAGACCTTCTTTTAGATTTGCTGGTAGTTCCACCCCACACACCTCTGCTACCCGTCCCACTCCTGGGAGCACGACCCGACCACCTACGGGTCCACCTACACCTAGATCTGATTTCCGTAGTAAACCTCCCACCCCGGATACCCCTCGGTCCAGTCCCGGGACCAAGTGCTTTCGATGCCAGGGATATGGGCATATCGCTTCTCAGTGCTCCAGTCCTTATAAGGTTTCGATCATCGAGGAGATTACTGAGGACGATCTAGAGCCCGAGGTTGATCAGATCCACCAAGTCGAGGAAGAAGGCGAGTACTTCGAGGAGGATGACGACACTGCGGTTCTCCATTGCCTTCAGAAGTTGGATACCTCACCCATCTGCATGGTGAGATGTGCACTATCCCACCCGACACCCACTGATGACTGGCATAGGACCTCGATTTTTCATACCTACACCAAGATCAAAGACAAGAACTGCAAAGTCATAGTTGCATAAATGCTGTTTTTTCAAGCATGGTTTCCCAGTTAGGTCTGTCTGTCGTTCCTCACCCCAACCCGTATAAGGTAGTGTGGGTCAATTCCACTGCCTTAGAAGTGAAGGAACGAAGCCACGTGCCCATCTCCTTTGCCACTTATAAGGAAAATGTCTGGTGCGATGTGTTGACTATGAATGTTGGACAAATTTTGCTAGGTCGCCCTTGGATCTACGATAATGATATCCACATTTTTGGGCGTTCAAACACCTGCGTATTCGAACATGCTGGCAAAAATATTAAGCTTTTGCCATCGTAGCTCCGGGTTACGGATGACACGAAATCCAACCTAGTCAAATCTAAGAAAGGCGTGAACCTTGACACCGCCAAGGTTCTGACTGCTGAGATTGCTCAAGGCGCCCCTCTTTATGCCT